GCATGACGCGCCACTGCGCGGAGTAGGAGTCTAGCGGAGCCTGAGGGGAGAAGGCATGGTGAGGCAAGCCCGTCCTCACAGACAAACACCACTGCGGACCCAAGACGCACAAGCAAGCACAGACAGTCGAGAAGGGAGAGACAGCAACGACAGTCAGAAGCCAGCGCTGGGTACCAGGAAGCCCGTCCTCACACGCGAGGCGGTCGGGCAGGGTGGCAGGGCAGCCCTCGCGACTCCGCGTCTAGAAGGACTCTGTCCACTGCGCGAATGTGTGTGTGTGTGTGTGTGTGTGTGTGTGTGTGTGTGTGTGTGTGATGTGTGCGCGCGCGTGCGTGCGTGCGTGTGTGTGCAGTTTTGCCTTTGTCATCGCCGCCATTTGGGCGAGGAAGGCGGAGAGCGCGCCGTCTGGCGCCTCCCTCCCGGTCTGAAGTGCGCAGCCGTAGCCGCCCCCGCCCAGCGGGAAGGAGAGCGACGCGGTGGCGGCGGCGCCGTTAGTGCCCAATGCGACGCGCGCCGTCAGCTCCGTCCCTCGGTAGCAGTCGAACCAGCGCGCGCCGCCGCTCGGCGCCGCAACCACAAGTTGCGTCCCGTTGGCCACGGCGTCGCCGCGGTTCACCAGCCTGCGTGCTGAATACGCCGACATGAGGGCGGGAAGACGGTGTTGTGTGCAGCGTACTCGGCGCACCGCGTGAGCACAACGAATAGACGGAGAAGGAGTACAGCGGAATACGGGTGAATACGGCGTCAAGTGTGCTGGTTGGGAGACAGGAACACGTCTTCCGCTTCTACCGGACGAGGACGATGAATACAGGGGAAGACATGAACACGCATTCCGCTTCTAGGGTCACCAGCGTCCAGAGCACGCGGCGGCCGCGGGCGTCGGGCCTGGTCAGAGGCAGCGTGATCTCGCGTGATCTCGTGTGATCTCGCGTGATCTCGGATGATCTCGCGTGATCTCGCGTGATCTCGCGTGATCTCGCGTGATCTCGCGTGATCTCCGGTGATCTCCGGTGATCTCCGGTGATCTCTGGTGATCTCGAATCATCTCGGGTGATCTCGAATCATCTCGGGTGATCTCGCCAGCGCGACGCAAAGACGGCAGGCTGCACCGCCTCAGGCGTGTGCGGCTCCCACCCTGCCGACAGCAGCAGGCCACCGCTAGCGTCGGCGCCGAAGAAGCGCTGCATGTGCGCCACCCGCCGGATCGCCTCGGCGTCGCGCGGGGTGATGCCGTTCCACGTGCCTAATTGATGAGTTAATTAGTTAATTTATTAGTTCATTAGGCGCGGGGTGATGCCGTTCCGCGTGCCCCACACGTTCTCCCACGTCTCGTACCCCGCCCCGTTGAACCACGCCGCCTGGAGGGTGTCAATGCGGTCCCGAGATTACCCGAGATTACCCGAGATTACCCGAGATTACTCGAGATTGCCTGGAGGTTGTCCGTGCGGTCCTTTGCCCAGCGATCGCACACGTGCGCCATGAAGCGGCCGCGAGTCAGAAACTTGAACCGGTTCACCGCCGGCACGGCCGGGTACCTACCGCGCTGGTGTCCAAGTCTGAGCCGGACTGTTCTTCACCCTCCTACCTACCCAACCTAAAGGGAGGACCTCCAGTAGCCCCACCCCATCGTCGCCCAATTGAGCGCCTCGTCGGTGCCTCCGCCCTCCGGCTCGAGACCGAGCGGGTGGTGGACCGCGAGAGACGCGTTCCAAAACGCCAGCCCGACGGAGCCCATTGTGTCACCGTTGAAGCCGTCGCCGCCCGTCTGCTTGAGCAGCGCCGCCAGCGCGACCTGGTCGCTGCTGCCCTCGCGCCGCGTGCCGGTGTCCCAAGGGTTGTACGGCCACATCACCTTCACGCCCTCGGCGTGCAGCTCGGCTGTGACGCGACGGACGCCCTCGAGCCCGCCCGGCATCGTGCGGAAATAGTCGAACTGCGGGCGAGGCACGCAGCAGCGGTGAGGTGGACAGCGGCAGCACTAGCAGAGCAGGAGAGTGACAGCCGAGCTGCGGACGCCCGGTTGCGGTCGTCATGATTGACTGACGGTGATCATACGTGCCTCCCCGTGTTTGTAGCCTGGCGTTCGTGCCCCGTACGTGCCGCGTCCTGCGCTTCCCTCGAGTTCCTTAATTCTCTAACGGTGCTGCCTGATTGCGGTCGTCGATGCCGATGTTGGTGTAGGTGGGCCAGAGAAGGAGGCTGTCGATGCCGCCGTACCGAGCGCGGAGATCGGCGAGGTACCGCCCGACCGTGTACTCGCCGGAGGTAGGGTCGTAGAAGCTCCGGTCGTAAGGGTGCATCTGCGGCTGCATCCAGGACGTCTGCGTCCACGGGATCACCTGCGGAAGCGCCGTGGCTGTGCCGTGCGCGTGTCGCATGGCCGAAGGAGGATGCTGGGCGTGGGTGTCGAAGCCAGTATCGCGAGAGTTATCGCGTCATGCGGGCGAGAGGCTCACATCGAAAACACCGCCAGTGTAGTTGATCTTGCGCAGCACAGTCTCGCGCTCGGCCTGGATGTTTTTGAGCCACGCCGGCTGTGCCTCACGACTGGCTGGACCGTCCCAGAGGCGAGGGTCCGAATGAGCCTGCAGCATCGTCGTAATCTCGTGATGGTGCGGAGTGGCAGCTGGTCGTCGGTGTTGGTGGGCAAGTGGAAAGAATTTTACTACGCGCCCCTCTCACAGCAGACTGGCTCGGAGTGGCACTACAAATGGCACAGCAGGCGACGGCCCCTTACGGGTCGTCAAAGAGGCCGGCGTACTCCTCCGGCCGCTCCTCCCCCTCCCAATCCTCCCCGGGCTCTGGCTCCTCCTCCTTACGCCCACTCAGGGTGTGTGGCAGCCAGCTGGCTGTGTGTCTTGTGAGCTTGTTTGTGTCTGTGTGTCGCTCGTGCGTGTCGTCATCATCTGTCCCGCGTCCACCCATACCGCGTTGGTGTCCAGTCCGTGTGTATCGCGCGCCTTGCGGGGGGGGCGCGGAAAAGAGGAACCTCTTAGCGCCATCGCCACGGTGCTGCATGCAGCGCCGGGCGACGACGGCTTACCGCCTCCCGGTCCCCCTCGGCACACCTCCGCTGCTCAATGTTTGACGGCTCGAACCCGTGAAGCTTCCCCGTGCGCGGGTTACCCCGCACACGGGTCAGCCTGCCAGCCACGTATCCACGCAAGCGTGGTCCGCGTGCATGGCATACAGGCGTCCGCCAGACAGCGCAGAGGCTAGGCGACCGGGGAAGGACTAGCTCAAGGGCAACACAGCGTCACCAGCCGTTGGCGCGCAGAACGAGTCTGCGGCCCTCGGTTGGGACGAGTGCGCGACGCGGTTGAACCGCTCAATATGGCCGGCAGCTCGCGCTGCCGGCGGGGTTGGTTGGGGAGAACCGGCACGGGGAGGGCCGGCCTCCCCGGAGGGGTCGCCCCCTGGAGGGGCCCCAAAGGGCCCCCCGGGGGGGCGGGGGCCCCCGCCCCGAGGGGCGGGGGCGGGTCCTTCCGTGTCGCTCCCCTCGTCGGGAGTGTCCGTCGGGATGGTGTTGTCCGCCCACTCGGCAGCGTTTGAGCCTCTGTCACCTTGCCTGCCGCGAGCAGCTAGCTCGTCGACGTAGTCGTTCCATTTGTTGCCGCTGTCCGAGCCTGACTGTTCTTCACCTTCCTACATACATACATACTAGGTACGGGACTGGCGCGCACTGGCACTAACACCCGTACACCACGGGAGCCGCCTAACATCCATGCCCCTCCTATTCAGCACTTCCATGTGTGCGGGAGTTGGTTTGTCGGGAGGGAGGGGCAGGCTGCTCACCCACGTGCACCGGGCCAGTGCTTGCACTTTGAATGCCGTGGGGCTCCTGCCCGTGTCCGGGCGTGGAGATGCGAGGGTCGCCCCCCCTTGCCCCACCACTTTGTGTGTGTGGAGAAATCTACCTTACCTTACCGCTTAGCACTTCCACGCCCAGGACACGGGCAGGACCAGGAGCCCACTTTTAATGCCACGATGGGGCTCCTGTCGTCTAGACGTGGAGACGCGAGGGTCGCCTCCCCCCCCTGCCCCTTGCCCCACCACTTTTGTGTGTGTGGAGACCTTTACCTTGCCTTACCTCCCTCGTGCGCCCCACCCATATCTCCCGTCTCCGTCCCCCCATATCTCACCCTGCGCTCAGTCGATCAGCTGAGATCTGTAGGCCGAGGTCAGCAAAGTCGCGGCGTAGCGCGGCGACGACTCGGTCGCGGATGTCGGCTCCGACATCCGCGAGGTATCCTTGCACCATGCGCTGGCGGCGGCGGCGCTGCGCCTCTTCGAACTGCGCAAAGGAGCCGCCACGGCGGCAGTTTGCGGACGCACGACACCTCGCACAACACTGGAATCTTACAACAAAACTCCCTCGCACAACACTGGGCACGGGACTGGCGCGCACTGGCACTAACACAGGTACACCACAAAATACAAAATAGAACTGCGGATGTGCGTTGGCGGGTGTCGTGGATTCTGCGTTGAATTCAAGCCAACGGTGAATTCAAGCCCTCAATCCTGAATCTTGGAGCACTTGGAGTGCAGTCAGCGAATCCTCAGATTTTAGATTAGGACGCTGTCGACCCTCTAATTCGGCTGCGTATAGAGGGTGTGGATGCTGAGTTGACGGAAATCGGAGGACGCGACCCACTTCGCCACAGACGGTCCCGCGCCTCGCCGCTATGACGGCCGCACGACCGCAGGTCGTGTGCGTGCGGCCGTCTTTGTCCGGAGTGAATACTCCAACGCGCTCGTCGGTGACGGCTTCCTCCAACCTGCGCCGCGCTCGGCGAACCTCGACAGCGCCTTCGGTGGCATGCAGCTCTTTGCGCCTGAAGCTTGGAGAGCAGCTCCTCTGCTGCTCACACGCTCTGCACAGATGGCACAGCCTACTGTGCGGCTGCCACAGCTGTGACAGCGATGGGCTCGCCCTCACTGGCCCTCAGTCACTTGTGCTGCGGCTTGTGTGAGAGCGACACTGCTCGGCGACTGCTGGCACACTGTGAGACCATGGGTGTGAGGTAAAACCACGCTACCAGCGCTTGGTCACATCGGCCCCGAGGTCAGATCCATCTACTCTGTTGATGACAACACTTGTCTACTCGCTGGAGCCGAGCAGGAGGGCCCGGCGCACAACCCCTGGTCAACTCACCTCCTCTCGCTCTCGCCACACCCCCGGCCCCGTATATCGTCGCATCCCGCGGCCGCATAAGGAATATAAAATAAGCGGCGTGCTAGTCACGCTTTTCTGAGTGTGCCCCGGCTTTACTGTCCTCCCCACAGCCCGCAAAGCAGTCCAGTTCAAAAAGGTCGACGCAGCGGAAATGCATGTGCAACGAGGGGCGCTCTTGCGACAGGTACTCGCGCTCTACCACGCGCAGCCCGCTGTCGCGGAGCAGCGCCGCGCTGCGCGCCTTCTCCTCCGCGAGCCACGGTCGGCTTTGGTCCCGCCACTGCCTCGGCGTGCCGTGCAGCGCGACGCGCGGCGGCGCGCTCCTCTTGCCGAGGGCAGCGGCGACGGCCGGGTCGGTGAGGTGTGCGCCGCGGCACTGCAGGCCGGCGTCGAGGTAGTGCACCTCGGCGAGGGCGCCGAGCAGCCGCGCGCCGGCGCTCTCCGTGTCGTTGCCGCCCGTCGGCAGCGCGAGCTCCGTGAGCAGCTGGTTGGCGACGACGCAGCCCTTGGAGAAGGTGAGCACGACGAGTGGGCCATGCGCGGCCTGCGGTGGGCCGCCATGCGCGCCCGCGGCCTCGGCCGCCGCCTCCAGCAGCGCGGCGAGGTGCGTCGCCGCCCTGCGCCCCGTGCTGGAGTAGCCGAGCGGCTCGCCCGTGGCCGTGCATGACTGTAGGAGGTTCTCGTACACGGCCGCTCCGCTGCTCTCCACCCGAGCGGGCTCCACCACGAACAGCCCAGCGTCGGCGAGTCGGCCGCTGCTGCCGCGCAGCCGCTCGCGGAGTATCGCGAGCAGTCCGCCAGAGTGAGGGTGGCGTCCGGCCGCTCCCGCAAGTGGATGCCACCCGACGTGTGGCACCGCGTCGCCGGGGAAGGCGACCACTGTGGCGCGCCAGCCTCCCCTCGGCAGGACATACAAGACGCGGTTCGCTCGCCTGCCGCCGGCAGCAACGTCCCGCTCGCCAATGAGCTCGCCCGTGTGTTCAGCTGAGCCGCTGGCCGCCGGCCGCCACGGGGCGCGTGTGTTGAAGTCGGAGAAGGATGGCATCGATTGGGGGTGGCGGATTTTCTGGCGCCGGGTTTTCTTTTTTTCGTCGAGCCTGTGTGCTGTGAGAGAGACTTCGTGTAAATTCTTTTTTCGAGCGTGAGAGCTCTCGCGGAAACCTCGCTCTCGCCACCTCGCCACCCAACGCGGCCAAAGGATATCCACCTCGAGAACCTCGAGAACCTCGGCCACCATGCGCCTCGACCACGCACGCCGAGCCGTCGTGCGCAACCTCCTCAGCGCCGCCGCCCTCACCGTCGCGCCGTCGCTGCCAGCCAGCGCCGACGCGCCGCCCACCTACTCGTTGAAGGGCCTCGCCGGCGCTCTGACTGGCGCCGATGCGCCGCGCCCAGCCGATCAACTCGGCGTCATCGGCCGCGGGCAGAACCGCGACAAGAGCGGCCGGCTCAATAGCTGTCCGGCGGACAAGAAGGGCTGCATAAGCTCCTTCTCCCAGTTTGACGAGGAGTCGTACGTGCCGCCTTGGACCTATCAGCCCGGCTTCTCGACGCAGGCAACCTCGCCGAACGACGCGCGGCGCGCCGCGCTGCGGGCCGAGGTGGGCGCCGCGGCGGTGGAGGCCGGCGAGACCAAGCCTGCCCCGAAGAGTCGCGAGGTCGCGGAGCGTGAGCTGAGGGCGGCGATCGAGGCCGCCGCCGGCCGGATAGTCGAGACGGGCGACCGCTACCTGTACGCCGAGTTTGAGGCGGGCGGCGGCGCGGTCGACGACGTCGAGTTTCTGTTCTCGCTCGACACGCCGATCGTTGGCTACCGCTCCGCGCCCCGGCGGGGGGCGGACGACAAGCGGCAGCGGAACCGCATCAAGGAGCTGCGGAAGGCGCTGAAGGAGGACGGGTGGAAGAGCGTCGGTCGCATCGTCGAGTAGGTGGACGAGGAACGGCAGGGCCCGCACGGCCGGAGCGTCGGGGGTTGAGGCTTTTTTGTATATATGTGTACAGAAGGTCGCCCTCTTAGCATGGCAGACGGTCACGCGGTGCCGGTGGGCCGCGGGGCGCGCGGGCCAACGCGGCAGCACCGCACCTACCACCTTGCAGTGCGACACCGACAGTGCGAGCTGCTGCGACACACGCGCGCGCGGAGTTTTTTTCTGCCTTTGTCCCGCGCGTGCCGGCCCCGCCTCCGCCTCGGCCGCCCGCCAACACTCATGCGCAGCCCCGCCGCCGCCTCCGCCGCCGCTCTCTCTGCGGGTGAGGAGGTGCTCGAGGATGACGACTTGCTCCGCATCATCCTCTCGGCTCTTGCTCCGGTCGGTGATCCATCGTCCGCAACCGCCGACGCGCTGCGAACTGCGGCAGCGCTCTCCAAGCGCTGGAGTGCTCTTGTGAAGCCAATCACGCGGCGATATCTGCTATCGCGCGCCGAGGCGCGGGTCCTGGCGCTTCCCACCTACGGAGTCCCTCCAGGATCATTTGCCAAAGTGATGGAATTCGCCAGCTTTCTCAATGGCCGGCGGCGTGGCCGCAGTTGCGGACTGCCGGAGCATATCGCTCGATCGGCCTTTCCGGAATCGCTCTCCGTTCCGCCGGCCTTTGCTCCTGGCGTGTCTGACGCGACCGCCCTGGGTGCGACGCAGCTCATCACCTCCTTTGAGTGCGGAGGCATCCCCGCGCTCGTTGAAGGCGACGGCGGCGCCGAGAAGGTGATCGCGTGCCTGACCCATTTCGCGACTAAACAGATGGTAGACTATCTCGTGATCTGCCCGAGCGGGCGCATGCAGCTGTGGGTCAGCGCCCTCCAGCAGCTCGCCCCCTCGATCCGCGTGCTCGTCAACCAAGGCACGCCAACTCAGCGGAAGAACGCTCTGCTGTCACAGCCTCGCGATTATGATCTTCTGCTCACGCCGTACAGCCTCGCCATCAAGGACACTCTGCACCTCTGCAAACTTCGATGGAAAGTCGTCGTCTGGGACGACGGTCTGAGCGAGCTGCGGCGCGGCTTTCGCGAGGGGTCCCAGACCTGGGCACTCCATCAAGGCGTTAATAAAAGGGCCGCTGGGGGTGCGACAGTAGACTACAACATCTTGCTGTCTCCGGCTCGCGTGACAAACGCGGACGACCTTCTCTGGCTGGTGCACAACCACCTTGGCGCAGCATACGCAGCCTGCAAGGTTGGCCTCGACGCGCACGCAATCGCGATGCGCGTGATAGTGCAGAAGCTTCGCCTGCTGGAGATCGCGCCCGCTTCGCTGTGCACGGAAGTGGCGCGCGAGGCGTGGCTCGCATCGCTGCAGCACATCCTTGATCAGGTGAGCCGGCCGACTGTGGCAGCTAGTGTGTGAGCAGAGAGTGATTATCGCGCACGCAATCGCGGCGGCCCTCGTGGTCGTCACGAGGGCGGGAGACGGGAGAGCTCGGGAGGCAGCGCCCCCGCTGCCCGTGCAGCAGCGCGCGCCGCAGCGGAGAGGGAGGCGGACGCCGCCGCCGCCTCCGCGCCGTACTGGCCCGCGAGCTGGCCGCGCAGGGACCAGCCGACCGCGGCCGCGAGCACCGACTGCGCCCGAGCTCCGCAGCGCGGCCCGCCCACCGCCCACCGCGTGCACCCACCCAGTGTGCAATCTTTACCGGTATGGGAGTTTTTGGCTAATCAAACCCAAGGCCTGCACTAATCAAAAAGTGGTACGGGATACCAGTTGCCTCACGGAAATCAAAGCGAGTCGGAGTGCCTTCTTGGTGGCAAAATCGGCAGAATCGGCAAAATACCGGGTATTTTGCGGGTATACCTGAAAAAACCCGGGTATACCCGGGTAATACCCGCACTTTTGCATGGTTTCGCCCCCGGGACCACACCGACAGCCGCTACAACTACTGAAAACCCCGCATACCTGCACTTTCGCATACCACTATACCATACCACTCCAAAACTAATCAAAATATCGCCAAATACCAGTCTCATACCGGTAAAGATTGCACACTGCACCCACCTTTAGTATTGCCGAGATCCGGGCGGGTGTCGGCCGCAGGCCCGCAGTGCTTTGGCCCTCTTGTCACGTTGCATGCTCGGAAAGCTAAGGCGGTACGTTCTACGCTGAAGCCGTATCCGCAATGATATATCCCCGGGGATAGCGGATAGAGTACCCTCAAGCGTCCGGGCAATTCTCGAAGGAAACCAGCCGGATCACGAGAGGCAAGCTGGCTCGGCGGCAGCCGCCGGCATGACGTCTATGTTTTTGCGCGTAGGGCGTATAGCACACGACAGTATCACGAACCCCGAGGACCCTCTTTCATCTACACTCGTAGCTCTCTGCCTCTCTCACATCTCAGATGGTTTGGCGCATGGCGGCGACGGAGGATGGCGGGTTGCTGCCCGGAGTGACTTCAGACTCCACCGTCTCGGCCGTCGCCACCTCACCCGCTTCCATACATAGCTGCCACAGTCCGTCGGATGGTGCTTTCGTGGCCGTTGTAAAATTCTTGTGGGCCCGAGAGCGATGTGCCATGTCCGCCTTGCGTTTCCGTTTGTTTCATAACGTATCGAAGGCTAAGCTCAAAATTCTTTTTTTTCTTGGTGGTAAAATTCTTTCTCGTGCCAGTGTGCTAAAGAAAGAAAGAAAACGGACAACCCAAGGGAGGGATGGGGAGGACGGCACGCCGCCACCACACAGGGATTTTAAGGAGAGGGGTGTGATGCGCTAGCCCTCGCCCACCCTTGGGCGTCCGCCTCTTCCTATCTCTCTTCGCAGTCTCTCGCAGATTCTCGCTGCGACCTTCATGCCACCTCGCGGTCGCCCCCTTCTCGTCGTTATTTCCCTTGTCTCTTCTTCTTCTTTCTGTCGCGTCGCTCTCCTCTGCTTCTGTGCTGTGAGTGCGGCAAGTGCTTCAAGAATTCTTTCTGGAATCTGTGATAGTACTAGCACGCGCCAGTTCGCACCTGCGTACTCGCGTGCCCACGCCTCGCCAAAGTCTCGACGGCGTGATGATCGACATCAGCTCACGCAGACCACGTCGAGTCCATGTCCAACCTCTCGCTCGAGATCGCCCGAGATCAGCGAGATCGCGATCTCGCCCAGAGATGAAGGGAGAGTAGGTGGCGGCGGTGCTGGCCTGCGCAAGCGCGTGCAACTGCCAGACGAAACAGTGCGTATCATGACGAGGCGCGTCTCCAGCTGTAGCTGCCAGAAGTCACCCGGCGGTGTGGCTGGCTGCTGCGAGGGCACTGACGGCTGCGAGGAGCTGCCGCGCCCATGGGAGGCGGAGCTCTAGGACGGCTCGCAGTGTGTCACACGTGAGTGAGAGACAACGATACGTGATAGAGTACTTTGCATGTTCATACTCATTGTTCATACACACACGGACACTACGTGTTTCCTACCACCACTCAAACGTTCGTCCGTTCCGAATCCGAAGTGCTACATTCCCAACTCGCTGCTATTCCAACTACGCCTCGTCATCTCCCTCCTCTAACTCAACAATTGCTTTATCCGCAGCCTCCTGCTCTGTCTTCCGGTGCTTCTTGAGAGCGCTGTTCAGTCTTGACTTCCGCAGTTCTCGTACAGCTCTTCGAGCTCCACCCCCAGCGTGTGTCGGTGAAACCCGAGTCGTGTTCATCCTCTCCAAACTCACCGCGCGTGAGGTAGCAAATAGTGTTGTCGGCAGCAGTCAGCTTGTTGCACCGCTTCTTTCCGATCAGTTGATCGGGGTCGCACAAGCGCATGCCGAGCACCGCCTCGATGTTAGCAGAATGTTGGCACGACCGCGTCGTCCGCACCGCCGCCTGCAAGCCGTGCCTGGCGCAGTCCGATGCTGCCTTTTGGCACTTGTAGCGAGCACACATGGTGCGGTGCGCGTACTTGAGCAGGCGGTGCGCGCCGCAGTTGGCGCAGGGGCCCTGGGAATAGGGCGTGCGGCGGCATGTGGACGCGCGTCCAGGTATTTTTCGGGTAAACCTGGACTTTCTCGGGTATACCCGGGTTTTACCTGGGTCTCGGGCAGGCACCCCCCTGTCGGTCGAGCAGTCTTGGCTCCCGCGAGGTGTACCCCCCTCTCGGTCAGAGGCCTGGCCAGGGGCACCTGTAGGGGGGTACCACCACCCCCCTCATGCTCACACGTCTTGCGAGAATGGGGGCGGCTAGGTGCGAGGGGGGGGGTGTTTGAAGATGACCCGCATATAACCTCACATCCAGGGCCGCCGTGTTTAAATTCTTTCTGGAATTCCGGCGGCATCGACGGGTGCACAGATATGGCTGCCGCGGTCGCCCAGCCTCGTGACTCCTCAAAGCCTGTCCGCCTGGCATCCCTCGAGGGCGAGAGCGCTGGCCTGGCGTCCCTCGAGAATGAGAACGTGGGCCAGCTCCCGCAGCTCCCGATGCTCTCTGGGCGCGACCGCACCATGAGCTTCCAGTCCCTTGCTTCTTTCGCGCCAGACGCTGACGACAGCGCGAGGAGCGCGATCGAGGCGGAGGTCGCGGCTCTCCAGTCGGGACTGCACGCGCGGATCGACGGCTACGTCAGGGTCGGGCGCCACACCGAGTACCGCGTCTTCGTCGAGTGCCGCTCGCCGGTGGAGGCCGGTGGAGAGACGATGACCCAACTCGTGGGCGGCCGGCAGCAGCGCTTCTCCGCGTTCCGCGCGCTGCATGCTTCGCACGTGGCCGCCCTCGGCGTGCGCTTCCGAGCGCCTCGCACCGTGCTCTCCGACTCCGACGCGGTTCGCACCGGGCGCGTCCAGGTGGGCTGTCTAGATCCCCACATCTCCCCATATCTCCCGATAGCACCGCCGCTCTTTGTGGTGGGCTGTCTAGATCCCCACATCTCCCCCTCTCTCCCGACGTCTCCCCACCTCTCCAGATGCTCGCCCTCTTTCTGAACGAGACGCTGCTCAAGCTCCCGGGGTCCAGCGAGCGCGCGCGTGCGGCCGTGCTAGACTTCCTCGGCGTCAGTCAGGATGCGGTGGCGGCGGCGGTGGCGACGGCGCAGGCGCGGGCTCAGGAGCGTGCAGCGCAGCGTGCAGCGCAGCGCGCCTTCTGTGAGCGGCGGTCGGCGACGCGGCTGCAGCGGGAGGTGCGGCGGCGTGCCGCTGCGGCGAGGAGCTCCGAACGGGACACTCTCAAGGCGGCGCTCGCCGGCGGCCACTCTGCGGCGGCGCCATGGGAGTGCTTCGCCACCGCGGCGATGAGAGCGCTCGGCTGCGGCCCGCCCGCTGCGCCGCCTCCGCCCGCCGCGCTGCGGACGGCGTCGCAGCCGACAGCAGCGTGTTGATATGGCGGGAAGGCCGGCGCCGCCGCCGCTGGTCGCCGCCGGCCCCCACAGTCAGGGGCGCAGCGCTATGGCTCGAGGTCGTCTCCCCCAGATCTCCCCCAGATCTCCCCCAGATCTCCGACAGATCTCCGCCAGATCTCCCCCAGATCTCCCCCAGATCTCCGGGCGCCCTGGCCGGAGATCGTCGCGGTGTGGCTAGCGCGAGCTTCGGCGTGACGC